TTGAGAGAGAAAAAAGAAATCGAACTTTAAATTATTAAGTTGATTTTTCAAGATTATTATAAGAGAAAATCTCTTCACATACATAATTTCAAATATTCTTTCAAGAAATCTACAATAAATTAAAAATGTAATAGTTATATACAGCACTTTACTTATTGATATTCTAATAATGACATGACACAGGATTCAAATTCGAAATAAATCGAACATAATTTTACTCTTTCTTTACCCTTTGTCTTTTCAGTAAGCAAGAAAATGTGAAAGCAATTATCACGGGGCAATTACTAAAATGATGTACGTACATTCATCCCACTGGAAGTTTGCCATCGCGCCAGAAAGTCTCGATTACCTGAGAGTGCAGCTCACGCGAACTCTCCCCTCAACTGCAGTTCTACTTTTCGCAGAAACGCCCCCACATAAAAACGAAAGAAGGGAGAAATGAAGCGACCATTGGTGCGACATTGCGTGCAATAACGATTGTAAGGATAAAAGCGGCAGAATATAGACTGACTGGGTCATTCCACCCTGTTTTACATTATCTAGCGAACGAGGGTCATTGCGAGACGGCGAACCTTTCGAATAGCCTCTCTTGTTCTACCACTTTCGATCCACTTTAATGGCGGGAGCACCAATATGATAGTATAGTGGTAATAGCATCGAAAAGGAACAATTGAAAAGTAATTTGCGTGACACATCGGTACAAGAGTAACATCTGTTCTTTTAGAAATGTATATCATATTCTTATTTTTCTCTTATTTCTATTCTACTAAACAAAATTGAACATTGTCTAAAATCTAATTGGCTTATTGAATGTATAAATTTTATCTTATCCAACGTAATTTCAAAAGATAGGCTATGGCCGATATTCATAATCGATTCCTACTTTAAAACCGTGTTAATAATGTTTTAAGATGCTAATACAGCTCTCTAATTGGTTCATGACATCTTAATACTGTACTAAATTAAAAATCATAAATCTAAAATTCTTTAAATACCGTTTTTTAAAGCCTTGAATTTTGGATAGAATATACTCGAATTTTTAAAATATAATTTATAGAATAAAGATTAATAATTTATTAGGTATATCAAAACTAAGTAAACACACAATTTTTTATTAATTAATCTTTTGATAATGAGATTTTTATGCGTTAAATTTAGAAATTTTTCTATCCATCGTCTTTGAAATATTTATATATATATGTATATAAATATAAACGAGGTATACCTACGAGATATCCAATATAGGTATACCTACATTGGATATCAAACGTCATAAATCAAAATGAATAAAATCTTACATGATATAAAAATTTTATATTATAAAATTTGATTGTATTCCTAAGTAAAATTATCAACCAAGTTCATATTGCACACAGATACTGATTTTCTTATCCAAAACTAAAAAGAATTGGAACAACTGCCTTGTCTGTCCATTTTCATCATACAACGATAAGATACGATAAAAAGTAAAAACACTGTTTATATATATAGCATATAATCGTAATCAACTGAAAAATGTAATCGTTTAAATCTGTTTAAACTCTTGAATTATTATCGTCAACAGGAAAAATTGATTAAAAAAAAATACCTGAAAACAGCCAGTAAAGTAATTAAAGAATCGTTGTTTTTCTAAACAATTGTATTTTTTGAAAAAAGAATTGCAAAATATAAATTTGAGTAGACCAGAATTTCTATACATTTAATAATGTTTCGATATATTTGTCAAAAAATGTATATTTACACAACTGATAATTACATTAAATTTATTTCATAAACAATTCATACGAAACAAAATTTAGATAAAATAATTTGTATAAAATGTATCGTATTTGATTATAAGGCTTTTTCAAGTTTATTATGACATGTCCGGTTGGGAGAAAGCTTATCAGTATATATCAACTTATTTCCGAGGAAATACGCGTTTTCCTCCTACGAGAACCGAGAATAGAGACCTTAGATCCTAACTGTATTTGCCCTTCTTATCATAGCGCATACCATACGTAGGCACTTGACACGCACATGTTGCGCGCGCGTACTCGACTCACATCTACATGTGACACACAGACAAGTCTTAGCTGAAGGGTGTCTGCGTCCATGGTACACGTTGCGGGATGCAGCGAGATGCATACACCCTTTTATAATATGTCTGAGAGATCGAGTAATTCTTTTTCACATGTTTATCTGTAAGAGATCTAGATCCAGGTTATAATGTTTTTCTATCATAAATTATTGGATAATAATTTCATTACGACAAAATGTTATCATTAGAAGTGATCAGTTAATTATAATTTGCAATCGATTAAAATTTGTTGATTGAAAACAGTATTACGAATATGAAATTGTCAGTTTTTTTAATTTTTAGGAATAATATATAAAATGAGACAGACAGAAGTAGAAAGCATAAAAATATATTTAAAAGACATTAGATAGTGAAAGAAGCAAATGTTCGAAAAGAGAATTTTTTTGTTCTGTTCAGAAAATAAATATTTCCTGTTCAATGGAAAAATTCTCTTGTCTTCATCAATAGCTCTGTCGAAATATATGATGACACAGAATCGTCACGTCACTGAGCCTTGGCCTCAAGTTAGGAGATAATGAAACATTGATAAGAAGCAGACTATTTGAAAACATAATGACTTGACCCACTCGGGATCAACAATGGAAACTGCATACTCTTATATCTACTTGAAAGTTTTCCTTGAAGAACTGCTCAGATTAGGAGTATTATTATCTCCTTTACAAAATACTTTAACAAATTATTTAAGGTTCATAGTAAAGTTCATAATAAAAATCTGACTTTTGATCTCATATAATTTGTGAACTATACACATATATTTATTGCTCTTTTTCTGTGGACGTATAAAAAAATATATTAAATGTATAAAAAAATATAGATTACGCTATAAAGCGATGTAAGATCATGTCTTTCATCAAAGCATCTCTGCATTCACACGATTGTATTCACAAAATCATTTCTTGCTATCATGTATGTTGTCATTGCGATAACGTGTGGCCTTGTTAAGATCGCTCGATGTATTTTTACAATTGCACGATCGCTGCCATCGCTGCCATTTATCTGTCATCCATCGATTCATCGCAAGGAATAATGAAAGCTGTATATTGTGAATCGATAATAAGTTTGCAAAACTACTCACGCATTTATGCGCGGATTGTGCCGTTATGTTACGTTAGTTTTTGATAAATGCGAATGACTAAGGAAACTCTAAAATTCAATTTTTTTTTATTTTATTAATTTTATTAGACCACTTTATTTAAATTTATATCATGGATCGCGCGGTCTCCGGTATCAATAACGAACAATTTTTTTTAAATAAATTATAAAATCGCCTTATTTCTTTATATTCAAATGTTCAGTTTCTCGATTATTCTAGCAATTCGAATCGTTTCCACGCGGTCGATTTGATTGCGTATCTTTCTGTATATAGATAAGAATGTTGATACACTGCACAATGCGTTGCGGTGATCTTGCAGAATACTTTTTGATATTTTTCACGGTCAAGGCCGTTCTCTGCGTCGAATATATATTTAGAAGAACGATTTAAAGAGACGACTCTTTTTCTTTCGCCACCACATTAACATAGATCGTAGACGTTGCGGACTGTCGATGTCCTCGAACTTTGCCGAATTCTGGTTCACGTTAATGCGAATGCCGATTTCTTTCGTGAACAAAATCAACCAGCCAACGCGGAATATAAAAGAAATATGCTCGCGTTATAATCCTTTCGCCACAGACAGCCTTGATCATTTGCCACCTCACTTACGAGGACAGATCAACATGTATATGTATGTGTGTGTGTTCCGGGATTAAATTACCATACAGGAAAATCATTATCTGTTTGTTTCTTTACAGCTTATTTATTATTCGACCTATAAATATTTTTTTACTATCAGTTCGATATAATCTACTTTTCGTCTACATCATGTTCTTTTTAACTTAATCATTCCACTCATTCTACGACCGACTACGACAAACAGACAACAATGCTTAGCGGGACTTATCGTTAATGAACCTTACCAACATAAACACAGTCGTATCATCTAGAATATAAAACAGTTCTGCGAAGTTCTGATGAAAGAGAGAGAATGGCTATCCGCCAAAGAATTTCTTGTCTACATTCGACCAGTCGACGCCTCAAAATTTATAGCCATCGTTGTATCGCAGTATGCAAATTTCGTTTAGATCTCCCAGAAGTTTACTTTTTTTTAAACCACTTTTTATGGACTGATGATCTCGTTACTTTTGTACGACGAAACAGCGTATAAGCTCCGCTTGCGTAAGCTATTACTTGTAAATCAAATGCGGATGTATTCACGAAATATGTTTCAATAATGTCTCGACAATCAGTGAAAATCCTTATGTATATACAGTTTTGCAAAAATTATTACACATACAAAGTATTTTGCAATTATCTACTTTCCTCATGCATTTAATTTTAGAACTAATATTTTATAAATTCAAAAAATTTATTTTTAATTCCAAAGGTCTACAAATTCTAAAGAGCAGCAAGTTCTAAGAAACCAAACAGTATACTGACTGCGAGAAAAAAATTTTTGATATTTGAAGCTATAATTGCATGGCAAAATCATTATACTTAATTAGAAACTCCATTTTTATATAATTATTACTGCTATTAGTAATAATATTAGTAATAATATTAGTAATAATTATATGTATCGTTCTTGTATATCTTCAAAAAATATGTAATTGGCATCGAAAATGACCATAAATTATATTTCCCTCAGTAAATATACATATATTTAATGCAAAGTTAAATAATGTTAAAAATTATATTCGAAGAGAAACTCGGATAAAAATATGTTGATAAATGATTCATAGATACTGCAGAGATTCTCTAGATTTCTATATCTTTTTGAGATTCATTGTATCTCAGAATACAGGTAAAAAAAAGAGAGAGAGAGAGAGAGAGAGAGAGAGAGAGAGAGAGAGAGAGAGAGAGAGAGAGAGATAAGTTCCTCACCGAGATCGGGAATAGAACTGGTGGGTTCCTCGTGATGGCCTTTGCTCTCGTTGGAGGTTCTCGCTCTGGGAGGCGGCGGTGGCGGCGGTGGTCTCATGCTGGAGGTCGAACTGACTACAACTGTCGCGGGTGGTGGTGGAGGTGGACCACTGTTTCTTCCGTGATTGCCACGTATTTGAGACTGCGGTGACATCAGCACCGTTTCGCCCCGCGCGTGCCCCTGAGGTGGCCGAGGGCACCAGCCATGTAATACCCTTATGGCACTGCGCACTTCCGCCTGCAGTTCGGCGGCCCTGTCTCGAGCCGTGTGAGCCACCTTCGTTACGGGAAACCCGCGCTATCGCGGGTTACACAAGGATCACGTGACGGACAACACTTCTCTATAAGTCGTGTATAAGTCCACTTCACTCACATAACACGTTGATTTACGATTACACTAAAGTCACGTTACGTTGCACATCGATTAGTCACCGAGTCTACAAAGATATTCTTTTCTAATCTCTTTGTAATCTGTTTTAATCAAGTTCTCACCAATTCACTGTATTTTTCAATAAACACTTTAGATCTATTGTTTTCAGTGATATACACTTTATGTCTCTCTATTAGATCCACTAGTCGAGGATCGAACTTGAAGAACACTGAATCCGTATCAATCACTTTTCAAATGCACTTTTTCGCTTTTGTCAGTTTTATGCCAAGTGATATTTCAATTTGAAAAACATTGTTAATCATACTTTTCATTATTCGAATCAATTTCACTTTATCCAGTGACTATAAACTATGTAAATTTAGAGAACTGACTGGAGTCAGACAGACTTCTTTCAACAAATGCAACCTGTCATCGTCACCTCTCTCTGATCAGACTCGACTTTACCTGGACCAATAGAGTCTCCTCACTCTGTCTCTCTCGCGCGCACTCCCGCCGGTTGTCGAGTGTCACGGTCAATGTCTCATAGTGGCGCGTGGCAGGTGTCCGCGAAAGCTCTCATTCGCACTTTCGCGACTCGTGCAAAAGAGGTGGACAAAATTGTCACGGGATGCACAAGCAGACGTGAGAGCGATTTAGTTAATTATATAATAAATAAGCGGAGCGAAGGCGCGTTTCGGAGCTGTCGATCTCATATGAATGAACGTTTCTTAGCAGTATGCCGAAAACAACAGTCCTCGGCACACGCGTCGTCCCTCGCGAGAGTCAGCAGCAACCTTCCCCTCTCTCGTACCACCCACGCACCCACCACTTTCTCGCTCCCTCCCGGCGCGTCACTCTACCCCACTCACAGTCCCCCGTGTCTCTCACCCTTACAGGCGACGGGCGCGCTAGTGCGAGAGAGACGTCTATGTTCTATCGGCCGCGCCGCGCGGTACAAAGGCGAGCGTCAACCCCTGTCTCGTAAAGTCACGGTATCGTACGCTGTCAAAACAAAAGCGCCTAACGTCTATAAATCGTGTGGCACATCGTTTCTGACAAATCGCGTCGCGATGGAGATATTATCACGTGTGGTCGCGCGACCAGACAGTCCAGAGTCCAGACACTCGTCCGGTCGCTCGAGTCAGTTAATACTGACGGAAATGCGGCGGCAAATCCGTGTGCGTCGCGCGTGCAAGCGTGCGACTACCGTACGTGTGGTAGGTATGCACCGTGTATTACGTATGCGCGATCGCTGATGCACGACGCGCGACGCTCTGACAGCGAGTAGCGACTAGGCCGACGATGTCGAGAACCGTCATCGGTGCTGGCGAAAGTGAGAGTGTGCTGGTCGCGGCGAATTCAGTGGTGCATAAGCGCGACGGGCACTGTTATCTCTTTCCCTCTCATACGCGTTCTCCCTCTCTTCCGATCCGGTCTCCTCTCTCTCGCTCTCCCTCGCCCTCTCTTTCCTATCCTTACGGGCAGCCTATAGCCGCCGGCAAGCAAAAGCGTGCACGCTCTCGACCTATAGCGTCCGATGCCGGCGTGCTTCGTCGCTCCGTGCTGTGTGCTATCCGGTACGCGTGTATATATAAAAGCGGCTGGCTTGTCCGCGATACGACCCCACACACCAAACCCTCCGCCGGAGCGGAGAGACTTCGCTCACTTCGCCCAGTGCCCTTCGTCCGCCTCCTTTTCTTGCCGCACTTCTCGCGCTCCGCCACTTGAGCTTCTCTTCCTTCCGTACGCGTACGCGCGAAAGACGCGACCCTCCGATACAACCCTTTGCTATTAGATCTGCTTTCTTCGCTGAACGATTGCTTCTACGTAATGCACTTAACATACAGTTATTAACGGAATTAAAGTAAAAAATTTTAACTTTGGACAAACGGAGAAATAGATATCCTAGTTAATTATATTAATATACAATACATATAATATATATATATATTTATATATATAGGAAACATAGATAACTCATTAATCATTTTTTAGAAACATCAGGAATGTCTTTAAACGTCTATATTCAAGTATTTTGATTAACCATAGTAGGAGTAAATTCTTTGTTGTATCAACCCGAAGGGCCGCGTTGCGCATTAATCCGCCCCTGAGCCAGCGATAGGCAGGGGGTGGTTCAATGCGCGCCGCGGTTGCGCGTCTGCTATCACATGGCCTTGTCCTTGAATGAGGCTTGTGAACCCGACGCTGCTTTTATCGATCACAGCCCCCGCATCCCGCTTCGACGCACTCGCTATAACCATCCATCTATCTCGTTGCAATGACGTATCTAGCGAAGAGCGTTCCCAATAATTCATGACTATTTTTGATCTTACATCTATTAATTTCGGGGATTCATATGTTTATATTCATATTATACATTTAATTGATTAAGTGTGTTTTATTGTAAATTTTTACAACTACGTGTATTGTAATTACATGCACATATATATAAGTACAAATTCAGATTTGGAGACGGACTTAGCAAAAGGGTTGATGCTGAAAGATAATAAGAAAAAATAATTAGTCTTTTTCAGCAACAATGCAGAATATTTAAATAGAAATAACAAGTCAAATGTAAGTTAAAGTAATCAAATTTGCATGTACTCGTGTACATGGATGTTGGTTATGGTTTCGTATTTTAGGGTTAAAACGAGATCCGCTTCTTAACCACCGCGAAATTCAGTATAAAAGATTCACGCTGAAACTGAGCATGCTTCGAAGGAGCCACTAAAGGGTTAAACGTACCTAATGTCCGATTCCACTTTTCGTCACTGTGAACTAAACCGGACATGCATCATGCAGCGACATCCGTCGTGTCTCTGTATTCTTAGAACGAGCCGTAATTTCTAAGACGGGTCCCCCTCGAGTCGCGCCGCAGAAGAATGGGACATAATAAGTAGAATGGTGTGAGCATTAAACCCTTCTGAATTTCGACCGAGAATCTCTGTAGATGGTAAATTCACTGAACTAAATCGGCTCGACGATTCGAAGGTCAAGGCCTCTTTGAGTAGGATCGACAAAAGTTTTACTATCCTTACCTCTTGTCTAATGACACGAGTCATCCAACTTGGACTCTCGCAAGGAATGAATACGCGACATAATGTGCCTTGAAGAAGGGACCATCTTTAATTTTATTGAACACTATGACGAATATTCATTTACGGTTACATATATTTAACGCGATTCATAAATTTAAAAACGTCCCAGACCGATTTGATTATTGTTCATTTAGATTTCAATTTGAGATCAGATACAAATGATATACATATAATAAAGCTAAATAAAATATATAAATAATAGAATTAAAACAGCAGATAATTAAAACTCCCAGACGATGACCAGACACTTGCCTTAAATCAATTGCCGTTGTATATAGCTAGCTGTAAATTCCGGTCAACAAAAGGGGAGTTCTTTTTGATGCAAATATCAAGTTCAAAGCGAGCCCAAATCCGCCAGTCGTGACTCTCCTCTCGTGCGACATTTCAAAACTATTCTCACGAGGAAGTACATAAGTACCATGTCATTGTCGTAGGTATGTGAGGAGAGAGAATCGCGGGTAGCGTATTACGTGACCGGCTTCGTAGTTGTTTAGATCTAGATGAACCTGAATCATCAAACCGGTCTGAACGCGCGGTCGCCATCGTGGTGTGGCTCAGCGCGACTCTGTTGGATTAGGTTAGGGACAAGACGCGCGTTGTAACACGCATGAGTTAAAATAGAGAAAGAACGACTGGAAAGTCGAGAGATCGGAAAAAGGATGGTTATATCGTATATCAGAAAAAGATAATCGTAAGATAACTCTATATGTGTGTCTCATCTAAGATTATATATATAAAACATTTATTTACTGTGTATTATATATATATTCACATGGATAAATAAATAGGACTTTCGTACGGAAGAGATCCGAGTTTGACTTCCGACCGAGGCAATATTTTTCGCAATAAGTTTATTATGGTTTTTTAAGATTAATTTGGGAAATTTGAGGGGATTATTAATATTTCAGATTGATTGCGTTGAAAATCCGACAATCATATCGGCACGCAATTATCATTTCTGAAATTAATTCATTTATATATATATTTATGAATATATATAATAGTTCAACATCTTAATAGTCAGATCGTAGTGGCACTTCATATTTAAAGTAATGTATTTAACATAAACGATTTTGTTTTAAATCTTATTAAATAAATAGATATACATATAAATGAAGACGAATAAATAAAAAGATACGATAATAAACCAGAGATATTGAACAAAAAGAAAAATAGTGAAATATTAAAAAAGTGATGGAAGAGAGAAAGAGAGAGAAATAAAGAAAAGGAAAGGATTACATTTAGAATCATGTTTTTAGTTATTTTCGAAATTTCCTTTCATGTTATTTCTTAATCCTGCGATACGAGCTCATGAACTCATGAGCTCATGAACTAATAAGCAACAGTTTTATAGACAATAAAAATTTCTTTTTCTTGCTAGATGTTAAATAGTCACATTATACAGAAATTATAAATAGGAAAATAAGATAACTTAGTTGCAGTCTTTACTAATGTGTAGCCTCTACTCTTTCTTATCTTATATTTTAATATTTCGCATAGAATACAACAAATGCATATATTATGCATATGTACTATCAAGTATTATAAACCTATATATTGATGCTAAACAAGGAAGGCTTTCTCCAATAGCCTTGAACCTCTACTGAAGCCCCGCAGCTATATGAACTTGAACCAGTCTTTTGATCTGTCCTTGCTCCTTGCAACTATATTCTGGAACGTATTGGTTGGATACTTAGTGGATGGCAGCAATATTTATCAAACAGTTAAAGTCCACTCTAAATGAGCAATAATATTTTATTATTTTAATATCCAAAAATAGTTTCAAAGTATATGCTTCTTCTTCTTATTTCGATAAATATTTCATTTTTCAAATTATCGCATTTTCACAGACCTTAATAAAATCAAAGTTCGAAAATGTTGGATGATATTAAATGAAATGTTTAAACTTACGTTTTCATTGCTTTGATATTGAAGAATATACTTCCAACCAAAGTCCTTGTCCAGGTCGTTTTCCACT